GTGTCGAAGTCAGCCTCGGTGACGTTGAGGGGTTGACATCCGAATTCATCCTGTCTGAGAGATGGATGGAAATTACAAGCATGTGAGCCCACAATAAATTTCACCATTACACCATAGTCCAAACTGTTGCAGGTCGACACATACGTCATCCACGTGTTTCTCAGCGCCCGCCTCAGTTCATAGTTTTCTCTGGCGGATAGTATTCCAACAACTAACGTATAGCGATGTTCGTTTGCGTGGGTATACAACTGTTCCATCGCTGGAGGAAGTACATGTATAAAGGATATTATCACTGACATCGCTATTGTAGCCAACGCCACATATAGGGAAAGGATCCCAACGCTAGTCCCATGGCTAAAATTCCTCATGTTTATAAGATGAGAAATAGCTTAAAGAACACTCTTTGAGAAGAACATATAATCCACCCCAGCATCACACACATAGTCGAAATGATACGGTGTTGGGTTGGTCGCAGAATGTAGCTGTCAATCTGGGATGGATAAACGGCGATCAACAATGTAAGATAGCCCAGCTGTGATATCTCCTGACAGAATGAGCGCCCTCTGGAGAGGTCAGTGGTATCTTCGAAACATTAAAAGAAAGTCTTTGTTTGTAGATATACTCCATAATTATCTGACACGCCGCCTAAATAATGCAATTATAAGAACTTTACATGCAGTCCCTATTTGAAATGTGTACCTGTTAAAATGTCGCAAACGAGAAACAAATTCGCATGCGCAGATGAGGTTGCGCAATAAATTGCAATATGGCGGCGCACATGACATTGGGCAACTTTGGCTGAAATGTACCAATATTCGGTGCTAAATTTAGAATATGAGGGAACTTCCTGTGACACTTAAACTTAATGGCGTGAATTAGCTGTTCATTCTACCAACATGACAGACTCAGGTAAGGTAAAATGTTATTTCCGTGTTGATGGACTGCGAGTGATTTATTTGTATTAATTTTAATATTTTTGCAAAAGTACACAACCCAACTACAACTACAACTTCATCTTCAGTCTATGGTTTAACACTTGTTGTGGAACATGTTATTCCCTCGGAGTCCAAGGGGGAAGTGTCAATCACAGACGTAATTGTTTAATTTGAAGCTGTGAAGCAAGTAAATTAGGTCAATTTGGGGGGGGCATCGACGGCTTGGGTTTTGACTGTTGTACCACAGCCCCCCCCCCCCCCCCAATCAATCTGGGTGGTCACGCCCACTGCAGGCAAATGGGAAAATTGGGGTCATGGGCAACACTTTTGAGATAAACCCAACATCTTCACTTTCTTTTGGGGTTAATAAAAGTTTTTACATAGTTGAGCAATCATAAAACTGTCCTTGAATATTAAAGATTTACAATATGTAAGAATATGGCATATGTACCAGTAGTTTATTTATACCGGTGATACATTTCTTATGTTGTACTAGTAACACTTTTTAATTTACTTTATGGTTTCTTTGATTAATGAAGTGTTTTGATTACTCATTATTTGTATGAATTTTTCAGTCATATCTTGGAATCCATCTCTACAGGATTTGGCTATTGCATATAGAATGTCTCTGTTTGCATATAAAGTGTATTCTACATGAGACTATTTTTGTTTTGTATTTTTTGAAACGGGAGAATTTAATTTGGCATTATTATTTTTTCAGCTGGTAAGTATAGAATCAGTCAAGTTATAGCTCCATCGTAGAATATGGGCATGTATTTGGGCATCATAAATTATTATTGGCAATTTATCCTTGAATTAACAGGTTTTAGTTGCTAAACTGAGGTAATGTGTTGTGCTTGAGTTGATCTATATTGACGTGAATAATTCACGATTGTATTTTATCTGTAGTTTGAGAAACATAGCTTCATATATATATTAATTTACATGTACTGTGTTTCTTTATACAGATCAAACTGGAAGAAATACTCATTACGGAGCCTATTCCGAACAAGTGCCTTTTGAAACTAATGATCAGCAGATGACAACATTTCCAGCAAATCCTCACCAACCCAGTGGACACTCTCTTCAATATTTTGAACCACCCTCCTATAATAGTTATCCACAGCACTACTATAGACAGCCTGTAATTCAGCCTATGCAGTATAATGTTCCTGGTTACCATTATCCACCAAACTACAATCCTTCATCGGGTGGATATCACACTGGAGGTCATGCCCACCAACAAGCCGGGTTTACAACCGGAAATAACATGCACCAACCCTACGTGCAGTCTAACCATCATGGGCAATTCAACAACAGAAGAGGATGGAATTCCCGATCAAACAAGTCTTGGAGACGACCAAATGATCCGACCGAGCAAGATAGTATGAGTAGAGCCAGTACCAGTAGAGAGACAGGTAATGTCTTTGAACCTAACTATGCAGAGTGGCGAGAAGATTTGGGAGAATATAGAAATTCACAACATACATATGGTGCTAGACCGAAATACAACTACAGAGGTCGCGGTCGCACGGTTGACTCCATACTCCAACATGAAGGTGGGTATACAGAAGAACAACAAGCGGAAACATCTGAAACCAAAGTATCCTCTGATTCTGAATTGACTGAAAATGAAAGAAGGAACTCTGACAGGATGGCCAAGAGTTGCGAGGAGATAGATACAATGGTTTCAAGAAAGAATAAAGAAAAGCATGATAAAGAATTAATAAGACAAGGAAAGTTTCACTATTCCAGCCGACAACCTCCTGAGAGACACCAATATGACCGTTTGACTGAGAGCAATTTTGGCAAAAATGAGGATAAAAGAATCAATGGTGAGAAAAAGTGGCGAAACAAAGCTAAAGGGAAGGAGTCAAAACTATCTAACGAAGATCTGAGAAGTGGCAGTGACAAACACAGGAGGAGAAGGAGATCTCTTTCTTTTGAACGCTTAAGAAGAAGCAGATCTGGATCACATGAGCGACCAGGCGATGAACAGAACACCCCATCTCAGGTGGAGATGGTCAGCAGTGATGTTCCACAAGGTGTTGGTGGGTCTGCATCTAAAGACCGTCAGAGCGCTAAAGCAAACTGGACGAGAAGACCACAAGATACAAGATTCAAAGACGCCAAATCCGCTGATTCTGATAAAAACACCCATAAGAAAAGTGGCAAAGGCAAATATCTGAATTGTTTGTCCTCACCACGCTCCAATAGTTCTGAAAATCTACACAGGGAGGCAGGCGGCATAAAGTCTTTTCATAGTGCTACAACTAGTGCAGAAAGTCAGACAGGTAAAACCATGGATATTAATTATATTTTTTGGCTGTGATGTCGTTGAGGTACATTTACAGTTTTCAATGATTTAGCACTGTTTCCATATGATGTAGAATCATTATCAGATAATTATTTCTAAAATATAATTGTAAATAATATTTACAGGATCAATGATTGAAGCCTTAAGTGATGGCACATACGAGTGCATGGTGTGCTGTGATGCTATAAAGTGCCAGTCAGCTGTCTGGAGTTGTCAAGGCTGCTACACAGTCTTCCATTTGCACTGTATCAGAAAATGGGCGAGATCACCTGTGGCAAGACGGCAAGGCAAGTCACCAATAGAATCTCTTATTTCTGTGTTTATTGAGTTGAGGTACTCGTTTTGGCCAATACTAAAAATATATCAGTTTCACCATAATGTGCATACTTTTGTTTTAATCACATAAACATGAATACAGTACAATCAAAGCACAGTCGCTCAGCAAGGATGTGATGAAAAAATAATAACATTACATCCACACTAAACTGAAGTTGTTTACATTTTGGAAGCAAGTCTACACTACAAGGTACACAGTCAGTTATCTCATATTCCGACATACTTCAAGACACATAGTTGATTTTTAAAAGAGTATGATAACCAAATGTTGGAATTGGAATACAATTTTTAACACTCTCCTAACTAAACCATATGATAGATGCAAAAATTACCCATCATAAAATATAGTTTTCTAGAAATGTCAGCAGGCAAAATTGTGGAACAAGTCGGTTAAAAACTTGCAGGGCTTAATTTGTACACGCTGAAATAACACGTGCATGGGCTACTATTGAAATTTGTGTGTTAACTGGCTGTGTACTTTAAGTTTGGTCATGTTCTTCTAGTCAGAAGACAAACATTGTACATTTCGTACCAGTGGAAATTAGATTGTAGTTCTTGATACATATTATTATGTCAGTAATGTTTTATGCTCTGAAATCTTTCGTGCTTACTTTATACATTGTGTACTGTACAGTTGAAAGTGCGGATGGTTGGAGGTGTCCAGCATGTCAGAATGTATGTGCCAAGATACCAAGTGTCTATGAATGTTTTTGTGGTAAGTCTAATTATGGTCAGTAAACCCTTACAGCAATACTCAAGTTACAAATACATACTGTGGAATACTTTATTTTCGCTGGAATTAATTTTTGCTGAAAAGGCTTTTTGGGCGTTTTGTATGGAATTTATTTTCACTGATTTCTGATGAGTTTAATGTGAAATATAGGAAAAAAAGTATATTCGCTGGATTTTATTTTCTTGGAATCATCCCTTCAGCGAAAATAGCGAAAATAAATTCCAAGCGAAAATAAAGTATTCTACAGTATATGCGAGATAGCAATAGCTTTTATCTCGTCAAGTCAATGTAAAAGTACATCAGGCTTAAACAGCCTTTAATTAATTGTTTTAATTATTTTTTTTCAATAATTTAATATATTTTTTGAGCATCAGTTCAAAAGCCCATTAATATTATGAGGTTATTACGCGGATTCCGAAAAGTATGCACGAAGACAGTACAGCAAGAGTATCGACCAAAATGCAGCGGATGTCGACGTGCCCCCGTACTGCCTGAGTGCATACTTTTCGATATCCTCGTAATAACCTTATTATTATACTTCTTTTCCTACCAAGGATACGTCATGGGAATGCCAAAATACAAAAAGTTTAGACCAGATTTAGCAAACTTCTTTGTATGGTTCTGTCATACATTGGGGGCTGCCATGCTTGTTTTTATTATTAGAAGAAGTTTACATGCATAATCGTTTCATATTTGGAATTTGCGCTTTCTAATATGGTAGGATGAAAATACCCAGTGCAATACCGCAAAATTATGGCACGCTGTAACTTATGGCATTACAATAACAGATGTATAATAAAATTATTTATCAATTATTTTTTTGTGCTGATAGTATTCAAGAATGGGACTTTTATTACTACAATAAGCCTTTAATTTAGGTTAATTTATTCCAGTATTAGAATATATCTGTTATCGACCATTTGTTTTTTTGCCTTGCAGGTAAAGTACGGGATCCAAACTGGGTGAGAACTGAGACAGCACATAGCTGCGGTGAACTTTGTAAAAAAAAGCGTTCCAATACGCCATGTCCTCATCAATGTAACATGTAAGTCTAAGCTAAGTTTTACAATTTAAATTTGGCTGACGCCTCATTGGTTATATCAGGTCACATGCCAATGACACAAAGATTGTGATTGGGTGTTTCTCAAATTTGCATAGCTAGAAACTTGAAAAATTTTTCAGTATGCAACACTCCGATGGGTGCAACAAGTACTATTTAACATGTCTGTTCATAAAATTATGATTTTAATTTATGATCGATAATATAATATACTATAACATGAACTTTAAGTTTACGAGTTTTGAAAACTACATTTCTCATTAAAACTAACGCTTTACAAGTGTCAAAATTGCAATAACAAACTACACACCCTGGACTGGACATGGACATGAGTGAACTTAAAACATTGTATACAAAAACCAAGTAACTTACAAGTGGAAATGTAAACAAATGCACCTAAAAATGTGAACTGAACTAGTTATTGGCGGTCCGCTCCGCTAGGATTGCCCTTATAATCACTTTTGTCGTTTTGTGTGTGTGTCTGTGTCTGTGTGTGTGTGTGTCTGTCTGTGTGTGTACATTTCCAGTGTTTTCGCGTATGATTTCTTCTGTGATTTTTTTGGCTTGGCCGATTTCTTTCAAACTTGGCAGGTAGGTCACACCTTCACCCTAGTTATTAGGAAAAATCTGAAGCTTCGCGCCAAATGTATCTCCTCCTACAAATTTAGGATAAAACACTTCAGACATAGCTCATTCTACTCAGCTTGAGTGTGGCACAAAGTTACTATTTGTTAGGAATTTTTGATATCTTTTTTCATTACCGAGAAATTTGATCCCAAATTTGGGGTAACTTTTCACCAGCAACGGCTTTTAACTCCTCTGTGACTTTTTCGGCTTGGTTGATTTTGTTCATACTTCACAGGTAGGTCGTACCGTCACTAATTGGAAAAAAATCCTGGCCCACCATTGCCATTGCAACATCCAAAAACTGATTTTTGAATACTTTCGCCCCAAATGTATTACCTCCTACCAGTTTTGTAATAGCAGTGTTCAAATGACCATGCTTTTTATTTTGGCTACGTTGTACACTGGTAGGAGATCACCGGCGCCGACATTACACTGTATCAACGTAATCCCAACGTAACTTTGAACTTTGAATGAACTTTAAATGCTGCCTTCATTCTAGAAAATACTATCGCAAAACGGTTGGAAATAATAAATGTAACAGCAGAATACGTCCTAGTAATAAACTAAGTGACTTCTAAAGACTGAATGTTTTTTGCAAACTTCGTATACGGGCCCATTTAGATATAAACCGACGTTAGCTTCACGTTTATGTCACACCATGGAAACAGCCAAAAACATATAGCTTGTTTTTGAGCGGAGCGGATCGCCAACCAGCCTACTGGCTTGTTGGTTTGTAATTTTCAAAATTGTGCATCATATTTTTTTGTTGGGGGGGATGGGGTGTCAGCACCAGTTGCGTATGACTTTTTTCCCCCATGTGTAGGCTTCTAATTCACCCATGGTTATTTTTGTTTTGTTTCACAGATTATGTCATCCTGGTCCATGCCCGAGTTGTCCTATAACTATCACTAAGAAGTGTGTGTGTGGTAAATCTGAGTATCCTATATTATAGACATTACAGCATGCTTTGTGCAGGGTAGAGGTCATCATGTCAAGTACATTTAAATTGTGTGCACTGTGGAGTACTTCCTGAAATTTTTTCTGTGCATTTTATTTGTGCATTAGTGGAAAGTATTAATACTGCCCTCTAGGATCATGATTACATAGGTATTGTAAAAGGATAAATTATTTGCTGGGTTTTAATTTTGCGTATTTTGCTGACTGGAAAATGCGCTAAATTAGTCATTTTACAGTACATGTAACATGTCACCATGAAAGTTACTTTGTGTGTTATTCCACCTTAATGAGTATAATTTAGAAAACCTATTCGCTGTGGAACTGTGAGTGCAATCCACTGTGACGCCATCTGTGGTAAAACATTGAATTGTGGTCTACATAGCTGTGAAGAAGTCTGCCATGCCGCAAGTTGCAAAGATTGTACTGTGATGAATAAGCAAGGTGGGTCAGTGTGTATTACCTCAGCCTAGTCAATATATGTGAAGAAATTAATATTATAATTATTAAAGTATGATATATGAAGAAGATTCAAGCCGAATTGGAGATCATAAATATGTTCATCATTCTTTTATTATTATGTGTTCATGCAGGAAACTGGAAATTATTGTCTATTATGAGATACTTCTTCATATTTAAAAAATTTGCTTGGTGACAGATGAAAAAATTCTATAATATAATGAATTATTGACATAAATCCTACTACTGTGGAATACCGTACTCGACCGTGTTAGCGCCCAGGGGCCTCAACTCAGAAAATCACGATTTTGTAGGGGTGGGCGCTTACCCGAGCACCCCCCTCGAAAAAGAGTGCAGTATTATGAAATCATTTCAAAAATTTAAAATATAATTTAGTGATTGTGATAATATTTTTCATTATGTACAATATTCCCATAGTGCATTGCATGTATGTGCTGTAACATGCTCAGACAGGCAAAATTTGAATTCAGTTCAAACTGATTTTACACTTTATGTTCTCAATGATGAGATGTACTAATCAGTGACTTTACACATTTTTGCTACACAAAATAACTTAAGATAAATGTGGTTTGCTGCGTACATCTGCCTGTTGTCATGACAACCACAGATGCCTTGGAGCCAATTAATGTCCTTTTATTTTCAGTTTGTCATTTTTGTTTTTAAATCAAAATGTAGTGGTTACATCTCTAGAGGGCGCTCTCCACTGGTATGTCAGGGAAATTATCAAAATGTTAGTTAGCCACCTTTAATAAAAATTTGTAAAAAATTGAATGTTCAGAAAAATTGGTAAAATATTGATCTATTAAAATGGTATGGTTAAATGATCACTTTGCATAATTGTTGAATTGAAAAATTCAGTTATTGATGAATTTCAGAATGTTATTGTGGGCGATCGAATAGGGAGGTTGTATGCGGTACAAAGATGGAACCACCAGGTGATGGACCGGGGTTCTTCTCCTGTCAGGAGAAATGTGCGAGGTAATTTGACGTTAATGATGTTCATGAATTTGACTTCAGTGGAAAGAATAGTGCATATTACTGATATACAGAGACATTTGAAAGAATCAAGTTAACACCATTATATCAATATGTCACATTTTCATAATCCTACATACAATAAATATATTTTGGTTTATTCACGCTTATATTGTGAATGCGCTTCTAATAGAGCACATACTGTACATGCATTCATCTTAAATTTACATCAAGCGCTGTGATAAACTGATGAGGAAAACCATCCTTGCAACATTGTAATATTTCTAGGAATATTGCTAGTGTGTTTGATGTAAATTAGCAACTCATTTGCATATTGAAATTCCTATAATATTTGACAGAATTTAACCATTTCACCACCGGACTTTCTCATGTCTGCACTTTTTTTTGTATACTTTTGTATATTTCTGGAAATGAACCCTAATTTTGAAGCAGACAGACAAAATTTGAGTAAATTTTCAGTTTCTACTCAAAAATATTGGCTATTTTTGTCCCAATCTTCTGAAGGAAATTGCAGACTTAAACAGGACTATTTTGTGAATGTGTGATGAAAAGAGGGAACTATCCTTTTTGTATTTCACACAATTTTTGAGTCTTTCATTCTGAATTCAAATCCATAAGTTTAAAAATGGGTTGTGTCCAGGAGCATCAGGTTGTTGGGATTGAAGTTCCGAAGTTAAAACAAACACTGCTGGCAATGTTCCTAGGAATATTGCCATGTTCCAAGGGAGATTGATAAAGAGATCACGGTTTTCCTTATCTGATTTCTGTGGTTTACTGATTTGATTTCAATTCTCACTAAAGAGGGCATTACCCAGTGTACTCCTCACAGCTGCTGATGCAAATAATCATCCTTTTTGACTCCCGTGTGCGAAGCACGAAAGGGAGTCTTTGCAGTTACCCTGTCTGTATGTCTGTATGTATGTATGTCTGTATGTATGTACCGGTATGTATGTATGTATGTGTGTATGTATGTATGTATGTATGTCCCTTTTTTTGTTCCACCGTTATCTCAAGAACCACTAATCAAATTTTGGTGAAACTTGCTACATAGATGCTCTGGGATAATGCGCAGAGTTGATTAGGTTTTGGAAAAAATCCATGAATATTAATTACTTAATTTGCATGATAATTAGCTGATTTTTAGCTGTTCCATGACTGTTCCACTAATATCTGAAAAACCACTCATTGGATTTTGATGAAACTTGGCACATGGAAGCTCTGAACTAGTGCGCAGATTTGATTAGTTTTGGGTAAAAATCTGTTTATATTAATTACCTAATTTGCATAATGGTTAGTCAATTTTTTACTTTTCCACTGATATCTCAAGTACTAATCATAACATTTCAATAAAACTTGGTACATAGATGTCATATGACACTGCACAGACCTGATAGTTTTTAGGGTAATATCAGCAGTACATATTAATAATTAATTTTCAGCTTTTGATATTTCGAGTAGTAATGATCACGTTTCAATGAAACTTGGTACATAGTTACTTGAGGACTGTGCAGAGACCTAATTATTTGTTGGGTAAATATTTATGCATATTAATCACCCTATTAGCATACTTAGTTAATTTTCAGCTTTTCACCTGATATCTCAAGTACTAATCATCACATTTCAATGAAACTTGCGACATAGATCTTCTAGGACTATGCAGAGACCTGATTAATTTTGGGATAAATAATTGTGCATATTAATAACCTAATTTGCATAATTTAATTTTTTGCTGTTCCATGGCTGTTGCACTGATGTCTAAAAAACTACTCATTGGATTTTAATGAAACTTTTAAAGAGTACTCATCACATTTCAATGAACCTAGGACTATACACCATATTAGTTTTTGGTAAATATTTATGCTTCTTAATCACCTAATTAACATAATTAATTAATACTGATATCTCAAGTATTGATCATCACATTTGAATAAAACTTGGTACATAAATGCTCTAGAACAATAGACAGCCTGATTAATTTTGGGTTAAAATCTGTTCATATTAATTCTCTAATTAGCATATTAATTAATAATTTGTTGGTTCTAATCACATGTCAATGAAACTTAGTACATTGTGCAGACCTTATTAGTTTTACACTTAAATCTGTTCATATTAGTTACCTTATTTGCATAATTAGTTTTCTGCGTTTCCATCAATATCTCAAGTTCAAGTAATTTTGAATAAATTTTTAATGTGTCTCCAATACTCTCAGCACACGGGAGTTCTTTCTAAGCTTTCTTTGATTTTCTTTGCTTTGACTATGTAATCTTGTCAACCTCCATGTACTTTGACATTGACTTGGCCACATGAGGGTTGAGGTTTCTTCTGAATTTTTAACTTAGTATTATTTTCATTTTACTGCAGGCAACTGTCGTGCAACAATCACACTTGTGAGAAACTATGCCACCCGGGTCCATGTGGTTCTTGTAGCTTTCTGCCGTCTAGTGTCACACACTGTCCATGTGGTCAGACACCGCTGTCATCTCTCTTACCCGGTGGTAAAACCAGGACATCTTGCACTGATCCCATACCAACATGTGATAATATATGTAATAAGAAACTCACTTGTGGCACTGCAGGTTTGTAATAATATCACGTGGATATTCTGCTATGAAATCTATAGATGGTTCATTAATGGTGGGGCTATTTTTAACTTGCCTCGCATCGTACAAAATGTACGATATACAAGTAGGCCATGATCGTACTTTTGTATAATGCACTTCTCCCTTACTTTGGAAGGTAATTACTACTGTAATAATCGAATTAAACAAGTACTATAAAATCTGTATTAGAAGCCGCTAAAAATTTTAGTAAATTTTCATTTTTACTAAAAAAAAATGTCTATTTTTGTCCAAATCTTCTGAGGAAAAGTGCAAACTTATAAACAGAAATATTTTGTGAATTTGTGATAAAAAAAGGAAAACTTGTGGTGAAAAGGTTAAGACTGTTTCAATCGAAAACACCCATTTGCTGCTAGAATAAAAAGTAAATCCTGGAGTATTTTAAAGATGTTTCATTAGGTACACTGATATTTTGTATATCCTACTGTTATCTATTATCATTGTTGCGGAATAAGGTTCATGCATGCACATTGAAAATAAAGTTAGTTACATTCATGACAGCTCAGAATCAGTCTTGTTGTTTGTGTTTCTCTGGCGAACTTTCGTGCAATATAACATACACCACACTTGGTCTCGAGTTGTCCATAAGAAGGTGCCATTACATTTTGATATTAGCTAAAGGGATACTGGATATATGTATGCTAATGTCTATGTGTCTTTTCTGTCTCTATCCCTAGATAAACCCCATGCATGTCAATATACCTGTCATGATGGTGTCTGTGGACCATGTACAGGGATATCCACTGTTAATTGTAGATGTGGTTACACTGATAAAGATATACCATGTGCTGAGTTTGCCGTCACATCGCAACCACCGTCATGTGATAAGCGATGCAACAAGAAAAGACAGTGTGGTAGGCATCGCTGCCATCAAAGGTGCTGTGTGGTGAGTAGAGGCTGCTGCTGAGAAGTACAAATTCCAGATTTTTTTTTTAGTTAAAATTAAATTGGAAGGAGGAATAATTAATAACTAAATAGATTTACATTTTTATTTGTATAGAAAATCATGTTAAATTACACCATCATTTGTTTCTTTGTTTCAATAAAAAAAAGCTCAATATCACTACATGGAAAATGCACTTTCTCTCTCATCATCATTTTCGAATAATCTTAGAATATTTTAGAAAAAAAACATTGAGTTGGAACTTTCTCTGCTCAAGGTCTACTGTATGTAAATTAATGGTTTACCTGCCTGTGGTCAAATTAATTAATTTTCTGATGAAATGTTACATACTGAATAGCTTCACAACTCAGCAATTAATAAAATTACAAAATCTAATACTGTGGAATACTTTATTTTCGCGGAAAAGGCTTTTTGAGCGTTTTGTGTGGAATTTATTTTCACTGATTTTTTTTATGAGTTTAGGCTACACCGATTTAATTTTATGGATGACATCCGCGCGCGCATTAGTTTTCGCCTGTTCTCAAAAAAAAAAAAAAAAATCTCCGACAACGAGTCTCCACAGATCGGTTTTCTGCCCAGAACTTGCCGACTCATATTGTCGCAAAGCACCGACTTGTCGTAAAACTCGTTTTGGACTACTCCAAAACCAAACTCCGCACAGTTAGATGCGCATTACGTAAAGCACAAGGACCTATGGAAAAGAGTTTGCTTCAAAACATGCAAATTTTGCCATAAATGA